TGATTCAAGCGTAACAATGCCCGAACGTTCCTCGACGTGGTCATGCACAGTTCAGACATGACCACGCCCGATGTTGGCGTGACCACGTCCCTGAGCCACGCCAGCGATCTGAGGCCTTCGTCCACGGATCCGACAATGAATCATCGTGTCGCTTCGCAGGTGGCGATCCGTGTCACCTCCAACAGTCGGAATAATATGAATTGTTGACTCACCACTCAATCGACGGCCATGGAGGCCGCTATCACTGCCTTCCCAACCTAAAAAAGGAGTTCCTCCTTACCTTCTCAACAACTTTTGGCCTTCCCTTTCTTCTGCGCAGTGTAGAGAAGAGGAAAAAGAAGACTGAGCCTCCTCGGCTAACCACCACGGCCTCCTCCTGCAAACCACCTCGACATCCTCTACGGTAAGCTTCATCCCCTTTCTTTGTTTTTTTTTTTTTGAGTTTATTTTCAAGTTATTTAAATTCTCAATTTAGGTCAACCCAAATCAATGGCCTTAGATTTGGCTTAGGTTTGGGTCCGACTCAGGTCAACATGAACCCAACCTAACCCTAACACAAATCATAGTCCAAACTCGATATGATCCAGGTCCAACCTACGTCCAACCCAGGTCAAACCCAGGCGAACCTCGGCCCAACCCAGCCTCGGCTCAACCTAAGTTCAACCCAAGTCTGACTCAGTCCAGCCCAGGTCTGACCCAGGTCAATCGAGGTCTGACCCAGGTTCAGCCGAGGTCTGACCCAGGTCCAACCGAGGTCATCCCAGGTACAATAAAATTCAACAAGAGTCCAACCCAGGACAACGCAGGTCAACCCAGGTCCAACTCAAATCTAACCCAGGTCCAACCTAAGTCCAAGTCAAGTTCAATTTAGGTCTAGACCAGCTGATCCTATTTAAGCTCAAATTTGAGTTGATCTTAGTCGAAAACCTAGTTTATCTCAACTTAACCTAAACTCAGTCCAATTCAAGCCAAAATCATATTTCAAGTGTTGTTTTACAAATCACGTTTCGTGTTCATGTTTTATTTCATGTATCATGTGCAATTTTTCAAAAACAACAAAAGCAATTAAAAAATGCATAAAACAAAAAGGAAGCGAACCTCTCAAAAGATGACTCTCCACAAACACTCAAACATTATAAACAAAACTGATTTTCAAAACTTAGAAAAATTTTGATTTCTCACCATGACTGACAAACTTAGGAATTAAGAGAAAACATAAATTAAATATTGAATCTTAAATAACATCTAAAATAAACCAAGATAAAGAACGAAAACCAAAATTAGGAAGATCTAACATAAACCCTAGATTAGCTAACTTAGACACCAAGACCGAGGATCATACACTTACCCTAGATTAGTCTGACTATAGAAATCTAGGTTAGTTTAATATGTACCCTAGTTAGTATTAAAGACTACGACATACAAAACAAACAAACATACCCCCTGAGACTAGAGAGAATACCTTAGAATGATGTAACCCATGGTTACTGATAGAGGTATTTCAGATCACCTCAAAACTATGAATCCTCCATATGCCACAGCACTCAAGGGGGATTCCTTGTTACGAGATTGGTTATAGTCGACGAATACCAGTGTCCTCAGGTAACAAAAAGCCATGGGCATCATAACCGGAAACATTATTCACAAAGTCTAGGTTAATCCACCCATCAAGATTCCATGTAGGGTCTAGGATTTTCAATTCCATTCAGAAATCCTTCCCACCCGACTACATCCTTTAGTTTAGAAGTTCCAATCATTTCCATATGTCAATCAAGAATTCTTAAGTCATCTTTTGATTCTACCTAACCAATTCAAATGCACTATCAAATCATTCCAAATTCTTCAACCACAACTCTTCGAATAAACCACCTCCCTTGAATGGTTAATCCATTCTCTCGGGCTTTTTTTAATGACACGCCATCATCGAACTGTAAATCTCATCCTTTTAAGCTTAATTCTTCCAACTTAGATCCTTTTCATTATCTCTAATATTCTAATTATGAAAGTTCAACCTTTTGGTAACCTGATTCATTATATTAATCGAGAGTTTTCACTAGGATTCACAGCTCTAGAGACGTAATTAACTATGAAGGCTTGCCCTCGTAGGGAACGAGCCCCACAATTAAAATAAAGCTTATATTATGCATGTAAGGTAAGAGAAAAAAAAAAAACTGGTTCCATAGACTTTCAAAGTTTTTCATCATCTAGGTGGTCAGACCCACTTTTAAGATAATATTTTCTTTCTCTAGAAAGATATGTTATTCCTCAAAATGTCGTGGTCGGTCATAGAGATAGAAGTCTTCCAAAAAGTTCAATAGTGTGTGGTAACACATAAATTCCCCAAAATGAGCTACTTCTTGAGTTGCCCTTACAAAGGAAGGTCCGGTATGTGAGACTCTTTTTTGTCACTTCCGGAAACTCATAAAGAGTAATTAGGGGTTTTAGATTCAATTCAACAGTATACCCACCGACAATTGATAGGGCAAAATGGATGAACCATAGTGTTGGAAATCACTCTAGGATCTTCATAGGGAGGAACATCCTAAAACGGGATCCAAGTCCTTTCAGAAAAGAATAAGAGACCTCTCCTAAGTGATTATACTTCAGTGTAGTCAAGTCTGTCGTACATCTCATTCGAGAGTTGATTCCTCCTTACATACTTTTTTATCAGATACACTCAAAAGAATACAAAGAGTTGAAGAAGTCAATTACAAATTTGATTTCTTGAGGCTTGGTTCGCGAAATTACCAATCCGCGTACAATTTCAGTTATGATTGTGCAAAAATAAGATGGATACATATTCTATCAGAATGTGCTTTGGAATGTCAACGCCAACATTATTGACTTCCTAGAAGATTACAACGTTTCCGCCACCTTTAACGTGGCCGACCTATCGTCATACGATGAGAAGAGAAAAGCTTCGACTGCTGAGGTCGAGCTCCCCCCCAAGCTTGAGAGATTGACGCGGACATTTAACACACAAAATTGCCACGATGCTACAGCTGATACGACACTGCAGAAATAACTATAGTGAAAGACGGGCTGAAATAATCTCATCTTCCTTTCTTATGTTTTCTTTCCTATTATCCTTCATTCCTTTCCTTTTTATTCATTTCCTATATACGTGTTCTATTAGGATTTGGAATATATATTTTTGTGTATTTTGTTTAGAATAGCCGTCGTCATCTATTTTCTCCTTTCGAGGGTTGTATCCTAGGGTTTGATTGGTGCACCATCCATATCCCTCTCCCGATGTGCTTTTTATTTTTCTTATTCCTCTTCTGCATCCTCCACACATCGCTCTCTACCACCTTTCCCTGTTGTAGCCGCCCGGAATAGTTGTTGACGCTATCCTTCCAACAATTTCTAACGTTCCCTGTAATTCCCTCGCTCTCGCTTGCTGCCATCGCTGTTTTGGCCACCATAAATCCTCTTCCCTTCCCACCAACTACTTCCTAGTCATCCCGAACCATGTCACTGCAACTTAACTGCTATCCCAACCCTTATGCACCACCTCCCTGCCACATATTCGTTGTTCCAGCCCTCATTAACAAAAATTCCACCTTGCTGCCACCAAAACAGCAAGGAATTGTTGTCTCGTTGTCATATTCGCCCACTTGCTCTGCGCTCCCATCTTATCACCACCTTTCGAGCCCTCTTAGGTCACCCCACCCATCCCAAGATCTCACCCTAGTTTGATCATTTGTGTCGTGTGGGTTGCTATTTCATATTTTCAGGTGTCTTGTTGATATATTTTCCCTTTAAAATGTGTTGATTATAGCTACCTATTTACTTTTAATAATAATACTTGTTTTTTCAATTGTGGTTTGAGTTAACTCTGGTATCTCCTAATGAATCAGTCTAATTTTAATGATCCAAACTTATTTAGACACCGCCTCTCCTGTGAATGTTTTCTTGAGCAGCAAGCCTAAATCAAGCTTCATATCATCCTGAGCTTTTTATCAAGTTTGTTAATAGCTTTAAACGATACTATTTACGATCATGAATAATTGAGCAAAAAGCTATTCATGCTTCTGTATTTAACAATCAAGTATTTATAAAAGTGTTCAAACTTATTCGATTAATTAATCAAACAATCATAAATGAGCTCTAATCAAACCGAGCCAAAATAGTTTACTTTGCCAATGTCATCCAGGAAGTGCATTATGCTAATTTGATCTATTTAATGCATTTGAGAGCTCAAATTGTTAGTCTACCAATTGATCTTACACATTTTTTATAAATGAACTCCACAATCTAAATTGAATCAAGCATCTATAATCCACACTAGGCTTTTTGATCTGTCAATCTAAGATTAAGATACCATTTTCAAAACATTGATCAATAATTCAAAATCCAATTTTGGTATCATGTTCCAAATTATATCTTAGATATATCAAATAACAACAACAAGAAGCCTTTATCCCACTAAGTGGGGTCGGCTACATGAATCATTTTTCTCCATTGCCATATTGTGCATCATATTTTCATTTAATTCTAATATATTGTGATCGTTTTTTATACAATATGCCCAAGTCTTTCTAGGTCTAACTCTGTCTTTATTAACATAAGTTAAATCTAAAACACTTACTCTCCTAACCGGATTATCAGATAGTCAAAGTTTAATATGACCAAACCAAATCACAGATATATTAAAGATAATGATAAAATTAGGTAATGATGACAGATAAACGACTAGCAAGAAGGTAGGCCAAAGCTAGTGATTTAGTTGTTCTCTCTAATAATATTTGTGCTAAAACTATTTAAAACAAATACTCCGTGGACCTTGCGGACCTTGCCTAAGAGAGAATGTTTGTGTAATATTGTTGTTTGTGTAACAGTTTTCTATCTTTATAATTTAACAACGTGGTATACAGCTACATCTCAAGCAGATGATAGTTGAATGGAAGAAGTGAAATTATATTAATATAATAATAGGTAAAAATGTTTCAAAGATATTAAGACAATCCTTGTCAAGCTTCAGAATATAATCTACGTACCATATCACCAGGTAAGTTACCAAAACCTGCCAAACATAGAACTGGTCGAACGGTCAAAGAAACATGCATGGATATAAGAAAAAATCCGGCTCAGCCCATTACCACTCGATTAATCAAATAATAGAAGGAAAATTTACATACATACCACACAATTCTTTAATAATTACATACATAACCCCAAAACTTTCATATTTACATTTATAACAGTTTAGTGTGATAAATCTACGCAAGAAAAGGTGGATTTATGTTTTTAAAAGTAGGTAATAGTGATATTTTTAATGTGATATTAAAAATTTAAGTGATATACATGTAAATATACATAGGAATTGTTTGGAAAGAATGTAAATTCCCCTTTATAGAAATGCTTTAAATCAACTTCCCTTCGAGTTTAAAAACTACGAAGCTAACTATTTGAACTAAACAATTTGCCTGACAAGGATACATTTTCCTTTCGGATTCCATCTGATTGTATTATAAGGACCTGTACCCAGCTCAAGCAATGGGCGGCATTTCTTGTCAAATATTGTTGCGCTTGAAGGAACAACTATGAAAAATCAAGAAATATTAAACTAAATCAACCCATGAAATTCAAAAAAGCAAGGAAAAGTACAAGGGAAAGAAAACATTACATCCATAGACAACGGCAAATTCCGAGCCCGAGGGTGCCCATTGAACATCATGAACGGGACCCTCTTTCCCCGTCAGATGCTCCAAAGATAAACCACGTGCTGGCTTTTAATGTAAAGAAAGGAGGAAATCTATGACAATAAAAAGTAAGAAAGGAAAACATACTGAGTGGAACAAGTCCCTCATGACTCCCATCTGTTGTCAAGTAATTCAACTTAGACTCTCCATAATAACTCTGGTTTGTTTTGTCCACATCAGACTGGGCAACAGCCAGAAGACCTGTAGAGCCATGGTTCCAGTTTAGTTGTATGCTAGAGCACCGGAAGAAGCTTCTTCTGGCGACAGGATTTGCCTGTCCATCTTGATTACAGGAAAAGATCTGGACACTGGCAGGAACACCCTGAAAAGGGAATATTTGATGTCAGAGGCCCAATAGTCCTACAAATTTTTACAAATTAAATTATAAGGGACCTTTGATTCTGCAAAAAAAGCAGCAATATGAGATCCAGGAGTCTTTGAAAGCTCTACTGCCGTCACCCCAGGTACTCTCAGCCTATATATAATTCCCTTGGAAAAATTCTTTCCGTCAAAAAATTGTATCTCGTTTGTTGACATCCGACAGGCAATGGATTCATCAGAGCTAAATTGGATTACAGGCCTGCAGGATGCATAAATTAGCAAGTAAATTTTCATGCTAAAATGTGTAGATGTAAATAATTAATTTGTTGAACGGTTGAATAAACCATGTGGTTTTCGTCATATTCTTCTGAAAGTGTTGATAAACAGCAGCTCCAGTTTCTATCAACCAAAGCACCACATTCTTCTCTTGGGGCGTAGAAGATTTTTGGAATGTTTGGAGATAAGTTCCGCAAGGGGACAGAGTAGAAGCAGACACAGCAGGTATATCAAAGGATTTGATCTTAGTGGAGCTATTGCAATCATAAACACAAATTGTTGAGTTGCTTTCTGTCACCATAAGTCTCGAACCGTTTTCACTGTATTTTGCAGCAGAGCAAGGAACTCTCCCAAGTCTGACCTTTGGTTGACCATCATTGAATGGAGGCCCACTCCAAATGGAGAATCCTTCAGGTTCTCGAGCTGCATAGAAAGACAGAAACCAGGAAAAAATATAAATAAATAAAAAATAGATTTGATTTGGGGGACTAATCTGCGACAAAAGTAGTTATACCTAATATTTCTAGTGTTCGTGCTTTATTCATGGTTGGTACCACTTCCAACTGATACCTGGGAAAATGACCGGTACAAGTACGAAGCTGAGTTCCAAATTTATCCTGCATAAGAAATTCTCACTACATTTAAAGAGTTAAAAAAAAATCATAACTTAACCAAATTCTAAACTAAAATTTCGAGCATAAATTTCCAAATCAAATGCAATACAGCCAAAAAGGAATCATCTACTTGGTCTGCCTTGCGTCACTGGTATGTAACTTTTTCTTTTAGCCTGTTAAAATAAAGCTATGCAGCTATACCCATTCTTCTTCAAACCAAACAGAAGTTCGAAGTGCAAATTGAAACAAGGTTTTAATGGGTGTGCCTGAGTCGGCCAACTTGCATTAGTATAATATTTTACAAAAAGTGAATTTGCTGTTAAAATATAGTCCAATCTAATATATATATATTACTCTCAAGCAATCACATATAGTCAAATCATAAATTTAGATTCTCATTAGTTGGCCACAGGTAGAGGCATGATTTGCACATGTAATAGAATAAATCCTAATCATACTAAGCATCAACTAGAAGATCTCCAATATGAACCTTGCTACCGTTAGTTAAATATTCTCATATGTTGAGATTTGTTTAGTTATCTGTGAGAAATAGCATAATAGTAGATATGAAGGAAACAATAAACGGATAGATTTCAAATTCCTAGAAATCTAGTGTGCTAAAGAATTGTCAGATGAAAATCTTTTGTGCTTAAGTACATAGGTCAGTGGATGGTAATATTGTGAAGAATTTCAAGGTATTGGGTTCAAACATTCACCCAGCTTGAAAAAAAAAAGTATCTTACCAAACTAATAAAACATGTTGAAGTTTAATTTGTGAACACAGCTAGAATAATGGTTTGAAATAAGAATTTAAAACAAAATCAATATGCTTTAACCATTGATGAGGGTTTTCATAGCCGTTTTAAGTCTATTCAAATCCAAGTGCTACTTAGATTTTAAAAAAAAATAGTGGGTGTTTGGTAGAGAATTTGAGCAGGATTTAAGTGGGATTTGACAATAAAACCTGCCAGAGTTTTTGGACAAGTTAAATCTACCCCATTTTTATACTCATTCCAACTCTGTTCAGCGTGAATCCTAGATTTATTAAATACGAGAGTTCGGTAGATTTAGAAGATTTGGCAAAAGAATGTGCAAGGATGGGGAGAGAAAACAGTACTCAGAGCTTGCCGTCACTTCAAGCTTCGCCTGCAATTGAGGTTTTAGTCATCAAAACATCGTGAATCCTAGATTCCAATAAAATCTGTTTGGTAGAGAATTTGAGCAGAATTTAAATGGGAGATTTAAATGGGATTTGACAATAAAACCTGCCAGAGTTTTTGGACAAGTTAAATCTACCCCATTTTTATACTCATTCCAATTCTGTTTCAGCGTGAATCCTAGATTTATTAAATACGAGAGTTCAGTAGATTTAGAAGATTTGGCAAAAAAGAATGGGCAAGGATTGGGAGAGAAAACAGTACTCAGAAGCTTGCCGTCACTTCAAGCTTTGCCTGCAATTGAGGTTTTAGTCATCAAAACATCGAATGCTATCCTCAAACCACACTTCCAGGAGCATAATCACGGATGAGAGCGCAAAGGAGGTGGCCGCCATTGATTCTGTCAAGTGTAAACTTGAAAATCATTCTCACGACTCGCCACCATTGGCTTGTTTTACCCCGACTAGGGATCGCGCTGGTGGAAATGAGAAAATCAAGACATTGGTGTTGGGAATAAAATTTTCAGAGGTTCATTTCATAGCATTAAATGACGCACCAATAAGATGGATAAGGGATAAGCTTAATCTGGGCTCATATGTCAATAAATTATGTTAATATGTTAAAGAACGATTATGAAAATATTGAATTGAGGTTATAACTTAATTTGATTAAAGCTAATTTTAAAAAAAAAATTAGTTGGTAATTGATTAATTATAAATTAATATACTATTTAAACCTAATCATAATTTCATTAATTTAATTATGATAGATTTAATAAATAATTAAATAATGATTGATAGTGATTGTTAAGCAACTAATTATTGATTCATTATTTTAATGAATTTCCAATTAATGATTAAAATAAATTAATGAATATCAATGTACTGGTTAATAACAGTTTATTGAAGAGAAATTCCGATCAATAATTAAGATAATTAATTAGCTTAATAAGTAACTTACTATAATTAGAAATGATTAAAATTAAGCCTTTTAATATTAAAATTTTCTTTGAACCAACAGACTTAAATCCTTACAAAAATTATCAGATAGTTTGCCAAGATATAGAAGGATGTAACTTCTATCGTATCAACAGTTCTTAGAATTTAACAATTCATAAAGCTGAATCTATGGGATTTATTAAATCCTACTCGAGTTAAATCCCATAAGTTAGAAAAAGGATGAACCTTCAAGATTAGAACCTGGTCTAATGGATTTATTAAAACAACCAAAGCACCTGGTCTAATGGATTTATTAAAACAATCACAAAGAAAGAGAGAGCAAGAGAGATGCTTACAAGCTAGAGAAGAAGTAGGAATGCAGAAAATCAATACAGAAGATGAGCAAGGGATAAGGACTTTGAGAGTATATTGGTTTTCTCAAACTGACCCTTATCATACTAGAACCAACTAATTATACAATTCTCTTTTAAATATCTGATTATAAATCTGCAATAATTCATTCAACTCTTTTTCGTACTAATCTAGTAATAAAAAACATGGAAGGGATGATAATAAAATGGTTTGATCCACAGGAAATATTTATTAATGGAAGAAATGGCACAGAAGCACATCTTCATGGACAATTCAATTAGAGATTTCATTAAGAATATGTGCTTAGTTTGATAATATAATGTTGTTCTGCTCCTTTAATTCCGCTGAAATTAAATCAACAGTCTCACATATATAAAAGATATAAGATGTAAAAGAGTTGAAATAGCAAAGCCGGCCCATATGCATAGTGAAATATATTTGTGCAGTTTCTACACAAACTAAAATTAATATTTGAAAAATGAACATGAGAAAAGATTTATAAAATGAAGCCTTCTTAATGTAGAATTGATTCTAACAACTAATCAAGTAAGTTCCAATCTATGCTGCGGAGAAAACGCAAACCACTAGAATGGGTCATACTGATCTTTACCTTGGGTCAAGCCTAGTCACATGGAATTGTTACTACTTAAATTAATTATCATGGTAGCATGAAATCTTTTGTGCAATCTATTGTCCGATTAATGATGACCGGCATAGAAAGGATTTTCGATAGTTAAATTACACTTGGGACCATAAGATCAAGGGGTTCCTTTCTATTGGTCCATATTTCTCTAAAATCTTTAGATTTATTAGTCAAATTATGTGTTTCAATGGTCTCTTTCCATGACGGATTCATTAAAAATCCTCCAGATTCCCAAAATGCACTTCACTAAGAAAACTAGCAAAAGAAGTAATTAAGACAAATGAAGAAATGCAGGGATGGAGCTCCAACCCAATATTTAGTAATTCACCATCCCCAATAAGTACGTGGATGGTTCTTGCACTCTACTGTGGTGAAAATAAATAATAAAACCTTGCAGTGGAGATCCAGTTTATCTAAGCACTTGGCGTTAGGGTTTTGCACATGAAATTTTTTGTTCACTTTTTTTTAGGGGAAAAATAAAATCTTATGGCTTCATTTAAGGTTTTGCATGTTGTTTATATGCTAAAATCTATTTTTTATTCAATTTTGTTTTTTAGTAACGACTCTATGGTTTACCATCATTCCATTATTTAACCAAAACAATACAATTCATGGAAGTTTTTTTATGGTTTTTTTCCTTATGGCACTGTGCCCGTTATTATATATATCACGTCCTTGCATGATTCTAACGAGAAATGAAAATAAATCAGCAATTTTAAGGCCTTCTTGAAGCATAATCAATGAAGTTCTTTTGGTATGCAACTAATTCTCACATAGCATGCATATTTGACAAGTAAATGGTTATCTATATATTAGGGTTGCAAGTGAACCAAAGCACCCGAACAACATGTCAACTTTAACTCGATTAATATACTCATTTAAATTCATTCAGATTAGCAATTAACTAAGTTAAAGCTCTGTTTAAAAACAAAAAAATTAAGCAAATCAAACTTAAAAAATGGCTCAACTCATTTATTTATGTTTATGAACAAACCAATTTATTGTTTAACAAGTCATTTGATAAAGGTATAATATTAAGGTCGATAATAACTCAAATATTATTTAAATAGGGGTTTACTATTATTACATTATTTAACCAAAATAATACAACTCATGGTAGTTTTTTGATGGTGTCCATCGTTATGACATTGTGCTCACTATATATTTTATTATTGCATAAAGGTCGGCAAGACTATCGATGATTGATTCTAACGAGAAATGAAATAAATTATTAAATATATATATTCAACAATTCTAAGGCCTTCTTGAACTAGAATCAATGAAGTTTTTGTGGAATGCAGCTAATTCTCACATACCACGCATATTTGACTACTAAATGTTTATCAAAACATTAGGACTGTAAGCGAGCCAATGCAATCGATGAACATCTCAACTTTGGCTCAATTAATACTCATCTAAATTCATTCAAATTAGCAATTAAATAAGTTCAAGCCCTATTTAAAAACTTAATAAATTAAACGAATCAAACGTAAAAATGGTCAAACTCATTTATTTATGTTTATGAAAAAACTAGTTTGTTGTTCAATAAGTCATTTGATAAATGCATACTCGATAATAACTCAAATATTATTTAAATTAAATTTGATTAAATTGAACATATTAAATTAAATATTTAATAGCAATATTCCATAAATTAAAATCAATAATATTTAGGAGTTAATTATCAATTACACTTTTATTTTATTAATATCTAATCATTTAACCCAATTTATTAATTAATCCACCATTATATAATCTGATTTAGCAATATATTATATAATCCTTCATGTTCAATCCATAACTACTTTTAGTAATAATTAATCTACAATTATATAATTACAATCTTTCCCTTTCATAATCCACCATCCCCTGCCCAAGCCACAAGGAAAATTG